CCGCAAAAGATCAAAGTCGAGTTGGATGAAGTTCATGGCACATCTGCTCCTGTGTTTGCGACTGTTTACAATTGGGTAAATGAGTTTAAACGTGGCCGTACCTCCACAAATGATGAACATCGTTCGTAACGTCCAGTGGAAGTGACTTACTCCGAAATGATTGACAAAATCCACGATATGATTTTGAGTGATCGACGAATCAAAGTGCGCGAAATAGTTGAGGTCACAGGCATATTACAAGGTACAGTGTTTTCAATTTTGCACGAAAAATTGGGTGTGAAAAAAATCTCGGCAAGATGGGTGCCGCGTTTGCTCTCAGTGGAGAATAAACGCAATCGTGAGATCGATTCGGAGGCTGGTTAGGCGCTTTTCCGTCGCAATCCTGACGAGTTTTTGCGTCGATACATAACTGTGGATGAAACATGGATACACTACTACACTCCAGAGACAAAGGAACAGTGGGTTTTTAAAAGCGATCCGGCTCCGAAGGAGAAGACGGTGAAATCGGCCGACAAGGTGATGGCCACGGTTTTATGGGATGCACGCGAAATCATCTACATCGATTACTTGGAAAAAGGACAAACGATAAATGGAGAGTATTATGCGTCGTTATTGCACCGGTTGAGCGAAGAAATCAAGAAAAAACGTCCTCATTTGGCAAAGAAAAAATTCTCTTCTATCAAGACAATGCACGGGTGCACATCTGCGCAGTTTCGATAGCGAAACTTATGGAATTAAAGTTCGAATTATTACAACATCCACCGTATTCACTAGATTTGGCTCCCAGTGACTTTTTTTTTATTTCCAAACTTGAAAAAATGGCTCGGCGGAAAACGATTCATGTCGAACGAGGAGGTCATCGCCCAAACAGATGCCTATTTTGAGGACCTTCCGAAATCCTACTTTTTGGACGGCTTAAAAAAGTTGGAGAAACGCCGGGAAAAGTGTATCGAGCTAAAAGGAGATTATGTTGAAAAATAAAAAAAAAATCTACCCAAAATAATTTGTTTTTCTATCTTTTTCTAAGGACTTATTGAACGACCCTCGTATACTGTGTGTGCAACAGTCCTGTGCGATAATTTAATAATTATTTCGCAGACTCGAGATGTTTTAAGACCGTTATCATGATTTTTTATCCGTCGTTATCAGTTTAATTACGATTATTAATTGACGTTGCGTTTTTAATCCACTTGATTTTTTGATGAAGCTGATTCCAAAGTGGTATTGGAAACGAGCGGCAGCCGATCATGAGGCTTACGACTCTTTCTTTTTCATTTCTTTTAAAATTTTGAATTTTAAATACTAATAAAAATAATAATAATAAAGAGATTATAATAGAAGTTCGTTGTTCTATTTTCCGGCTTCCTCATTAATTCAAATTATTCCAATTATATATATAACGTTGTTATCGTGTCCACATGTGTGTTTTTAAAATTCTATGAATATGTAAGAAATGTATCGGTAAAAGACCGGTGAAAGTCGAGGGCTACAAAGTGACTGTGATTGATATTTTTTTGATTAAAATAAAATCTCCTTCTCCCATTATCATATTACTTTTATCACATCCATTTTTCTATCTGTATTGTTATTTCTGTCATAACCGATTAATAATCCGATCGTAAGTCCGTCGCGATCATGATAACTTCATAGAAAAGAAAGCGCACATGACAATTTTGCCAAGGTCTACTATGATACGGTACACACGTCTGCCGACGAGGCAATCCGTCATACTGACCTGTACTACTATCATACTTACTGTAAGGATGCAACACCTTGTACATCTAATGATCGACCATGAATCTTTTTCTCTAGCGTAAATTCGTAAATCGGTGACAATCATTATAGATACATGTTGCTTATTGCAGCCTATATGTTACAAACGCAATTTGATAGACAAACACGCATCGCTTGTGTGCATGCGTATGTGTGATCTGAAGTTGAATCTCTTGGTGATGCAAATGCAGTTTGATGGCAAACTCATTCGCTTATATGCGTGTGTACGTATGAATCTAAAAAATCTGAAAGTCTGAGCAAAAATGAAAGGAGATTTTAGCGGGCGAGATTTCGAGATCTCCGTATTACCTGCACCAATCTTAAACTTAGTGCAAATTACGCGCGCTAAATTATGTAAACTTTCATAAGATTTTCAATTATAGTTTTTGGGCTTGAGATATTTGACTCAAAAAACTAATCGGCCCAGAAATTCCAGAGAAGCTACGCGGTTGCATTGTTTTGTTGTTACATACTCGGCATCGCGCTACGACCGCGGCGCTTGATCGGAGCTGCATTCCTTAAACTGCATAATTATCTGTTTTTTTTCACATATTGTCTCAAGATAGCGGCCGAAATATGACCGACCGCTAAATTTTATTATCATACTCATAATCAGAAGACAAAAATACATCGAAAATACGTGTATACATTTAATTTTCTGGTGCTATTCTAGAGATTTTCTAGAAGTTTACCGAACTATTAAATTCAATTTAAAAAATTCAAACTGACTTTGAAAAAAAAACTTTAGTGTATTCATAATAAGGTCAAGCCAATAGTTGAGGTTACAATAATTTTTCAATGAAAAGTATCTAAAGCTGATAAAGCAGATTATTCAAAAAATTTGTATATTCGAATGTAGTATGTAATTCAATAGTGAAAGTAAAACTTTATTCTTCATTTTTGCTGGGTATTAATATGATTTTAGAGAAATACTATTCAAAATGTGCTCTTTTCTTCTTTTTTCCTTTTCATCTCTCTTTTCTTAATTTTGTTTTATTCATACTATAATCAATTAGTTGGATATTGGGCGAATAATAATAACGTAAATACTCTGTACCGTGCAAAAATATTCTTGCTAGGTATGTTGGAATATAAGAGCTGCCACATAAAATATGTTATAAACAAATGACACTTTCTTATGTAAAACATATTTAGATATCAAACAATAACATACTTCTTAATTTCTAACTGGTAACTGAAAAATAAATAATTATATAAATTATATAAATATTAAAAAATACAGGAATAAAGTATGGTGCAAAAATATACAATATAAATAATATTTTCTGGTTAGTGGATTATATATTAATACTAAATAATGTGTGATATATTATTAATTTATAGTAAATATAAGTGTCATCTGTTCATGACATTTTATCAGGGTTGGGTAAGTTAACTTTTTTTTTAACTAAGTTAAGTTAAAGTTAATGGTTTTGAAAATTTAACTTAGTTAAGATAAAGTTAACCCATAATTAAATTAATTGAATTAAAAGTTAAATTAATAAAAAAAAGTAATTAAAAAGTTAAAAATTAAATTTGTTTCATTTCATGACTTCAGGGTTTCAGTTTTACAAATAACGGAAAAAACAAATATACATCTTATTTGGAAACATTTTATTTACAGATACTTATTAAATTTAAGTAATAAAAGTTAGTAATAAAATTTAAGTAGTAAAAGTTTTTTTGAAAGGACCCCACACTAATCATATGAAAAAAGTGGTTTCAGTCGAATTGAATGAAACTATGATATTTTGTAGCTTATGAGGTATTGATCAAAAATCTTCAACAAAAAGTGTGAAAAAATGGACAGTTTTTTTCTAGCGCCATTAGAAAGTTCCTATTTTAGATTTAACCAAACCTTTATAGACCTTTATACACCAAACCTGTATACCTTAACAGTACACAGATTGTTTTTTTAACTGTATAGGCATTTATATATAACCATACGTGTGTTCATTATTGAATAGATTCATACTCAGTGTATATATGTGGTACGGGAGGGGGAGAGGTGTAATATGGGTGTGTATTGGTATGTATGTATTTGTATCGATAGTTACTCTATTAGTATGTCTGACTTTATTACGTCCAAAAAATGTGTGTGTGTAATCTAACTTAACCCGCCCAACACACACATACTTACGCACGCATATACAATTTTATATAAATACTGTGTACTGTAGATAAAGGTTTGGTTAGACCTAAAATAGTAACTTTCTAATGGCGCTAGAAAAAAAAACTGTCCATTTTTTCACACTTTTTGTTGTATTTTTTATCAGCACCTCATACGCTATAAAATAGCGTATACAAATACATAGTTTCAGTCAATTCGACTGAAATCACTTTTTTCATATGATTAGTGTAGGGTCCTTTTTATTGGACATTTTTCCTTGAAGATTGTCAAAAATGAGCTCTCCTGCACTGAACAGCCTTTCGACATCTCGCGACACCTTTATGGCACGATTAACTTCAAGATAATTGAATTAAAAATTAGGTTACCGATAAAATGTAACTAAGTTAAGTTAAAAGGTAAGAGTGTAAAAATGTAACTAAGTTAAATTAAAGCTTTTTAACTTAACTTTTAACTTTTTAACTAGTTACTACCCAACCCTGCATGTTATATAATAGTTTCAACATCTTGACATATATTTATGTCCATATTCTAAATCTCCTCTTTTATCGATAAAAGCCTTGAATATAGTTTCTCAGCCAATCAGGTGGTTCTTAAGTCTTTTTTAGAGATACTTTTATAGATAAAAGAGGATTCAGAATATGGGCCTTAGTCTATAATTAGTCTTAAAGGCTAAAACCGTTAGAATTAATCTTATTATTAGAATATTATTATTATAAACTTTAATAAATTATTTATATATAATGTTAAAAGAGAGAGACAATTTCATTATATATTTAAAATATCAATATTAAATCAATATTATATCAATATTAAGATTGAAACATTTTAGGAAATCTTTACTATCATGCATTTAAGCAATATTTGAATATATATATATATATATATATATATATATATATATATATAATCTTATGTATATATCTAACAATTTACTTTCAATTTAGTTAACTTTTAATAATCTATTTGAAAACTCCATGTTTTGATATTGATTTCTGTAATGTTCTTAGCTATTTGCCATTAACAGATATGTACTGTTTCTTCGAGATCATAGGATGTATATAGGAAAAGCATGATTAAATGAAACAATTTTACATACCATGTTTTCTTCGTATACAACTTTAACATTCTCCGGATTTTTCAAGAGTATTGTCACAATAACATAGGTCTCTGTTTGATACCAATCATGTCTTATTTTCGGGACAGACATCTAAAATTCAATATCTTTTAAGCTTTGATATTTTAAGGTTACAAACCTGCATTTTAATTTATACTATTGAATTCGCATAGGTATTAATATTTTACATTTTACAGGTAATATTATTGATATCCATTATATTCATATAAATGTTCAAATTATATACTTTATTATTGAAATATTAAATATATGTAATAAATTATAAACTTTAACTATATCTATATATATTATTCTCAAAACCTTTTTAGATACCTTCTCGAGAGCAGATGATAATAATATTTTCTTCTATTAACTCTCTTTTTGTTGTAATCTTTTCGATTGTTGCAAAAATTTATAAAAATTGTAATCAATAGCACTTTATACTGTCACGTCTAATCTATCATAACGTTCATAAACATTGTACTGACAATGAAAAGATAACGCTTCCCGAAGTTGCGTACCATTAAACCATGAAGTAAGAGAAAAGGAAGTCGAACTCCATATAACGAAAGTGGTCCTGATTCGTATCCCCTATAGCATTTTTCATTGGCCGCGTTCAGTAGAACAAGTGATCAGTAAGCGCTCAGTGAGCTCTTGCATCTGATTGGAGTATAGTTGGAGATCTAAAAGAATATGCCAAATCATATACAAGAGCTCCCTGAGCGCTTACTGATCACTTGTTCTACTGAACGCGGCTATTGGCTGCATTCAGCAGACTCAACAGTTGCACAACAGTTGAGTAATTTGTCAATGTAATTGGTCTAGATTTAGGGATCTAATAGCAAGAACCAATAATCGTTGATTGCTCACTGAGCGCTTTTTCTACTGAATGCGCCCATTGGCAGAACTGGTGCGCACTGAGTGCGCACTAAGGCTTGTTTACAATATATTTTCATATTTAAGGGTGCGTTCAGATTCCCTACCCGGGTGCACTCTATCACTAGAAACACTATAGTATATGTTACATATACTATAGCACTTCTAGTATTAGAGTGCACCCGGGTAGGGAATCTGAACGTACCCTAAGATCGTGTCTTATAGCGAATTCGGTAGCTTGCACTAGTGCGCACTGAGTGTGCATTAAGGCTTGTTTACAGTACATCTTATATTTAAGATCGTGTATTAAATACATATTTAAAAACATTTTAACTAATAAAATGATTCGTACGGATGTTATACATATCATATTATGGTTAAAAATATTTGAGAATTTATTTGAGAATTATTTAAGACAATCTTTAAATATAATAACATACTATGAACAAACCTTAGTGCGCACTCAGTGCACACTAGTGCAAGCAACCGAATTCGCTATTAAATACATATTTAAAAATATTTTAGGTAATAAAATGATTCGTACAGATGTTATACATATTATATATTTGTATGTATTTGACCGGAAAAAAACTCCGGCTGGAAAACTATTCTTTTAAATCGTTTGTATTTTGTATGAAGAGTTTTGAAGTGCAATTGAAAAGATTTGTGAGTCATTCTATTACTTGTAATTAATTGTTCTTTTTTGGACCATGTATTTAGCCGGAAATAATAACCGGAGGTAAATTAAACAAAGGTTCGGTATGATATCGTTTGTATTTCGTATGAAGAGTTAAGAATATCATTAAAAAAGTTTGTGAGTCACCCAGACAATTTTAATTAAATGTTAAAAATCATATATTTGGCCGAAATATCAATCTTAAGCGCTGTTGTGGAAGTACCGTCAGGCACGATCGATATACTATCTAGTATTTCAATATTCATGGTTCATTTTCGGGTAATTATGTATAATAAGGCCTTTTTCGAATTTTGTTATCTTTTTGCAGCTCTTTTGGTAAAAATATTTATTTTGACTCCAATATTGATAATCAATCGGAGGAGTCCGAAAAATATGCAAGTTATATATTGTTTTAACTTTTTTTTTCACTTGTAGAACTTATTAAAAAATTATTAAAAAAAAAAGTTGAACACTTTAATAAACTGACTGACGGTTAATGTGACGATAGGTTGAGTTAGGTTAGTTTTGAAGGGGGGTGCAGGGGGCGTAGCTCCCCGCTTGTCGTTCGATATTGCAGTTACATAATGTGATTAAAAGATCAGTAACTTGTTTAAATTGTGGGAAAGCAGCAACGTTCTACTAGTAAAAAAAATTAAAAAAAAGTTAAAACAATATATAACTTATATATTTTTCGGACTCCTCCGATTGATTATCAATATTGGAGTCAAAATAAATATTTTTACCAAAAGAGCTGCAAAAAGATAACAAAATTCGAAAAAGGCCTTATTATACATAATTACCCGAAAA